TCTTTATTTACGTCTATATTGTACCTTTATTCTCAATTGAATTGAGTAATAATTTCTGCAAATATTTTATAAATTGTTATCTTTCATTAAAGAAAGAAGGCCGAAAATCCGACATTGGTTGTATTGAACGTGTGCAATTAGTTTTAAATAAACTTTTGGAAAACGCTGAGCAAGGAAATATATCAAATCCATTTTATAACAATTATTTGCATGAACTTATGGACAACGGTGAATATAAAAGTGAATGGATACTTCCAGGAGAGGAAAATGCTGGTAAACTAAATATTTAGTTGATTTTATTTAATAATCGGCCGAATCTATTCGAGAAATTAAAATAAAGCAAAATTAGGCTATAACATTTCTCTTTCAACTATATGCAGAAGGCTTCTGCAAAGTTTAAGGGATTAGCTGTATCTCTAAGCAAAATGTTTTGAGAATGTAAAGAAGTTACTTAAACCATTTACAATGTACATGGTTTGGCTCTTGTCCAGTTTATGCGTCCCATGAAAGTATATGCGTCCCATCAACAAAAAATTGGATTTTTCTTGGTGTTGCTAAGTTGAGGTATCGTTCCAAAACATTTCTTCATGTTCGAGACCTACACCCACTGGGTCTGGGACCGTTCCTTACCGTATACCTCGAAATTTCTGAAAGTTAAAATCGTTTTTCTGAAATTTTTAAAAATTGGCTATAACTTTCAGAAATTTCAAGGTATAGGGTAAGGAACGGTCCCAGACCCAGTGGACGTAGATCCCGAACACGAAGAAATGCTTTGGAACCATACCCCTACTTTGCAACACCAAGAAATATCTAATTTTTTGTTGATGGGACGCATATACTTTCATGGGACGCATAAACTGGACAAGAGCCCATGGTTTAAGGGGAGCCAATTATTTATGACACACCCTAAGTATTTTAATTTTGGTGGTTTTATTACAAAAATCGTAGATACATTATAAAGATACAAAGCCAAAAATTATGACTATTTTTATGAAAAAATTTCAATGAATATAAATATTATATTCTAACTTTTAGAGCATATTGTAATTGTTACGCATGGGTTAGCTATATCTGCAATTCAAAATCTTGTTGGTGGAGTTTTCACTTATTCGCCTCAGGTTTAATTTAATTTTATATTTTAATAATTATTCGGTCTTAATATAATCTAGACATCAATTACAAAAATTGTTGAACTTGATCCGTCCAGGTAGAAAATAGATTTTTAAAATAATTTTTAGATCTGTTGAAGGTTACTCATTTATAAGTAAAAATAACATTGACACATAACATTGAATATTTCCGAAATATTAGAATCTAAATTATGCAATTCGAACCTTTCGGTCTTTCATGTATTATAGGGACACAGGAATGTCGCGAGCAGCTTTTAGCGCAACGGAAAGAAAAGAAACTGCTCACGACAGCCGCTGTACTCTAACAGTTGTTTCCTAGTCAATCGAGCCACAACGGGCTTTAATGTCTATTTCCGGTATATGCGATTAGCCTCAACGGGCCTTGATGACACAACTTGTGATGGGCTCGAATAGAATTAACAATAACGTATAGGCCACAACGGGCTAATTAGGATTTGCCACAACGGGCTAGACGACTAGAGGCTGTTACGCACGGATTAGACTAGGCCCCCTAATCCGAAAAGATATCCGGGGCTTCCCAGGGCGGGGGTACGCCAGTTATCGCTTAGTATATTTGACTATAAGAAATATATAATCAAATCCAAAAAATTTATTTAACTAAATAAATAATTTATTTTATTGTTGAAAAGAATAAGAGTGAATGTGAAGTGAATAATAAAAATCGTTGGGAAAATATTATTGTTAATGTTCATATAAGGCCCATCCTTCTTTCCATAGATAAGATCGCCAATTTCTTGTCCATTATGAGAAAAAGGTGAGTGTAGCAGTGAAAAGCGGATGTAAACACGGCTCAACGGCCGTTCACCTTTGGACTAGCAAGCGAAGACAACGTTCGCTCAGACAAGTCAAAAGAGCGCGCCAAATAATCGCAGCTCGGCGATTAATGACAAATCGCCGAGTCGCGACAGGAATAATAGAATCATTCGACTAACCCCTAAAATAACATTTTATTTGATGATTTTTACTCGAACAATTATCTCTTTCCATCTATCTACATTGACTCATGCGCGATATGAGCGTGATATCACCACCTTAAAAAAGGCGGTGATAAAAAAATTATTAAAATTTATAAAAAAATTTCTATATAGTGCGTATGCAAGTCATCATACAAATGGTTCAAGTACCTCAACCGGAAAGAATTATTTAGAAAATCTTCGTTTGGTTTATTCTGGTGTTACCGAGCATTTCGATGAAGATCTTAACGCAAGCTATTTCAAACACTAAACACTTGGTTGCTTAATGATATTTGGATAAATTAAAATTTCTAAAATTTTCGTTCTAGTTTGGGTATGACAACAAAGCTATTAGGAAGTTTTTAAAAATTTTTAATTTTTAAACTCAAAAAAGTCAATTAGAAAAGATTTATCCTTATATTAATTAAGACTTTTTATTCATTTTCGGTAAGTTCATATTTTTATTTTTTTATAATTTTTTAAGACTGAGTTGATTTAAAGATAAAAACTGGACCTAAAAATCCAAAAAAATAACAGGATTTGCTGAAAACTTTTTTAAATGCCAGATTGCTTTTGGCTTGGGTCTTCGAAATTTTTATCGAATCAGGGTTGGATCGAATTTTTTGAAATAACTCATAATATAAATTAACTCAGTATAAAACATTTTTACCTTTTATTACTATTTAAAATTTTAAAAACTAGTAAGCATTTAAAACTCCTACCTCACCACGTACAAAAACAATTTTCAGATGCTTAACCTCCTATCTAAAAAAATTTTTTTTAACGCAACCCGAATTTTTTTGGTTTTATAATTGAATAGTTGAAAATTATTTTTAGATTTTCTAAAAATTTTGGCAATTAAAAAGCCTATTTTATGTGGAATTAGTTAATTCACTCATTCAACTATTCATTTATTTTTATTGCCGCAAAATTTTAAATTGTTATTTAATTTTTTTAAAGGATTTTCATAATTTATTCCTTCATTCGACTTTTTAGTATAAAATTATTCAATTATGTTTAACTAAAACATATACTTTATTACTGTAGTTAAATAGCATAAACTAGTGGGTAAGGCTATGATAGCTAAGTCCCGTGAAATCCTCGGGTTTCTGGAATCCAGACATATTTTTACAAGATTTTGTGTTTTTCACGTTCTAAAGTGGTGTTTTCAAGTTTATTCGCCGAAGCGACGAATAAGCTACCAATATAAATTAAAACTAACATCAAATTATGGCTAAATTTGGGGAGTGTTTCATTTATAGAAAGCTTTATAATTTCTAAGTTACTAATCTCGACAGTGATTAAATTCGAGACTGACTATTTTCGATATGTCGAACACCCTGTTGTTCAATCAATAATAACAGGTAGTAATTTATGCGAGTGATGGATATATATCTAATTAAAATTACAAAAATGGCGGCGACGATCTTTAAAATTTAACCAAAATATTCGACAATTTTGTTTAAACGAAGCTTAAGATTATATCAGAAAATATTATTTTAAATTCATTTCAAATTTTCTTCATTACCCATTATAGCCAAATTGATTGTGGGCGATATGGCTTAATAAACTGAAATAAATTAAAATACATTAATAATTAATAACATATTTTCTCTCTGATGAATAATTACGACCGATAAACACATAGTACCCAAAAAAATATTTTGAAGGGAGTATCTGAAAGTATCATTAATGTTGGGGACCCGAATTTCAGAAGCAACAAAAACAAGATTTAAAGAGTATCCATTTAGGAATGCCAAGTAAAATAGTATATTTGTACTTTATTTGTTAGTGAGGAAGGATTTAAATATACTTTAATATTTCTGTATTTTAAGAAGATATTAAAAATATTTTTTTAAAAAAATTACCGGCAATTGGTTGTCAATTGGAAAACTAGGAGAATAATAATAGATATTGCCTCCAGTCTGTTCTTCACCGTTTGGAGCAAATGCAGAATTTCCTTTTTGTTCGTTTGAATCAAAATGCCGTTTTCCAATCCGCATTAAATTTCGTAAATTGTTTGATTTGCGTACTCGTAACTAGGAAAAAATTTAATATTTCTTTATAGGCCCCCATTTTTATTTGGTGTAGTACAGAACTGAACTGAGTGGTTTTTGCAGTTCGGTTTCTTATCCCAAGAATATCTATTACTTTACAAGTTTTAGAAACTAAAGTAATCAGAAATGAAATTCTATTTTTAGTAAACTAATTTTAGTCAGGCTTCAACACAAAATTTTAAACTTTTAATTATTATTTAGAGGATTGCTATTAATTAGATTCGTTCAATTAAAATAAAAACACTTTTATTTTTAACCCCCAAATTTAATTTAATTAAAACCTCGTTATAATCAGGTGTCCTCTTTGATGCCTAAAATAATAGCTAATTAAATTTTTTATTATATCTACTATATTTCTACTAATAGAATGAATTTGTATTGCGATTAAAATTAATAGAATGCCGAGGCATCCTATCAGAGGAAAAACAAAATTCTAAATTTTCAAAAAATGTAAAAATCCCAATTAATTCCAACATAATAAATAGTACATACAAATAATTATAAATATTAACTTAGAAAACTTAATTTGGTGTTCAGTCAATGGAGGCGTGTTAATTTTTTGGATGCCTAATACTTCTTAGGCAATTTTTTATTAGCTTAATTAGCCACCAAATGTTTAGCGCTTACAACTATATATATATATTACCGTATTTTTTCTAATAGAGAGGCCGGCCTCTCTATTTATCAATCCCGGCTCAAAGGGCCGCTCTATTGTGGACGTCCGTTTAAATGGAGGTGGCCGCTCTATTAGAGGAAATATGGTATTTTAATCAGGCTTGCGCACAAAATTTGAAATTTTTTAGTATTTTCGCTTCAATTTTCTCTTCGTTAATGCTTTTTTATGTTCCGATAAGTACCTGGAATTGTCCTTGATCAGCAAAGGAAGGTATAGCAAATGCTGATAAATGTATTGGTTGTTGATTAGCTTTAGGTGTATTTAATGGACGTAGAGTGCCCAGATGTGTCAAACTTTAAAATTGAATAAAATTTTCTTTAAAAATCCTAAAATAATTTACCCAAGAAATTGTCTCAATTCAGGCATTAATTCATTCAATTTTTGGTAAGTATAAGCTGATTCAACTAGAGATATCGAACACAGGGTAATGAAGAGAACAAGTTTTGGCTGATCGTTAAATGAAATACTCATTTTATTTTTAATTATTTTTAGGTAAATTAATTGGGAAACAAGTACTGAAATTTTAAAGAATTTAAATAAATTTTGGAGTAATTTGTAAAAAGTTTAATTGTTGACAAAAAGTGAACTTGGAAAGAGGCTGAAGATCAGGGATGGATCTGAAGATCAAAGACGGGTCTAAAGATCAGGACTGGGGGCTCATTTTTAAAAGCAGAAGGGGTATGTAAGAAGAAAACAGAACCTAATAAGGTGTGGCCGACGGAACGCGCAAATAAAAATAAATAAAGTCGGAAATAAGACACAAGGTGTTGCTTAATTTGTTAATCGGGCCTAGATAGATTTTATTCGAAAATTTAATAGTGGAGTTGTTCAAAATTCCCGTTACCTAATGAAGGATTTTGGGAAAAGCCTGAATTTAAAAAATCTAAAATTTCCAAATAGGTTATAGAGATGCCAGAGGAATGGTTTGGTAATTATATTTTCAAAAAAATGATATCATCAGTCTATAAAAATCCGAGTATTTTCAATGTATATGGAAAAATTTAATTTTTAGTAAAAAATATTTTTGGATTGAAATTTGTATATAAAAATATATTTATTTATAATACTTAGTTAGAATGTACCATTGTCTATTCAAAGATTTCGTGGACCTGAGGTGTTTTAAACAATGAAAAAGGAATTTATGGTATGTGCTTTTTCTGGAATTAAAATAACTAAAAGAAATAACAAAAGGTTTATAACGAAAAAAATTCGCTCCAATGATTTTTAAAATTAAAATGTATCCAGATTGAATTAATTAAATCATTTTTTATTTGATAAGATTGAGTAAATAAAAATGTAAAAACTTGGAATATTTTTGGGGAAGGATTCGAACTCTTTTGTTTTATAAAATTAATTTTTTCGGCATACATTTGAAACACTAAGGAAAATCTAAAATGGATATTTCTTTGGAGAAATTTATTGGAAGGGAGATGGCCATCATCGGATGTAAACCTGAGCTCAAAACCGATTATAGGTAAATTTTATTCATTAATTTTCTTTTTTGGGGTTTGAACAGGGAGTCTTCCGAATACAGAAAGTTTGGAGTTGGAAATTCTTGTTCCCTAGATGTGAATTTATTTTTGACAACAAAACGACTTTCACATTTGAATAAATATTAGGTAGAATAAAAAATTAGAAACTAAAATTTAAAAAATTCTCAATTTTGTTTTAAAAATTGCAAACAAATTAAAAAACAAAAAATAAAAAAATATTTTTTTTGCTAGAAAACATGCATTCCTTATTTATATAATTTTTTGCTTTTTGAATTATTAATTTATTACCTTAAAAATTATACATAAAAGAAATGGTAATGAAAAGAATCCTTTGAATGTCTATTTAATAATTAAAAATTCTAAAATTTTATTTTTGGATATTTCCGAATTAAGATTTGAAAAAAAAATTAAAAATAGAAACAAATTTTGAAATAATTAGCAATGTTATTTTTTATGGCAAATGGAGGGAGGATATGTTTTTTAATGTATAAATTTAGTAAATTATTTAATTTAAGTATTTCAAGAACAAATAAGGCTTAGTTAAACAGCTAAAAACATAAAAGGGATTCAATTTACTAAACAAATATTCAACTAAATAGGGGATAAGCGACATGAGATAGTTTTGGCTGGGTTAGTGTTTAATGTCTTAAAAGTTAAATTTAAACAAGGACTTTGCTATTTTAATGAAAATTTTGTTAGGTAAAATACATGGCGGCACTTTGTGATGTTTGTTTTATGCACCACATGATTAAAATAGACAGATTTGAGAAATCAATTCGTATTTCGGATCCAATATCCAATGGAAATTTTCAGATTTTCAGATCCGGAAACGATATTTTCATTAAATGGAGAGGGTATGGATTGAAAGAGAGGGTATGGGTAATAATTTCCGATAGGAACTATTTTGTAGCAATAAGCCAGTATTCCCTTTCTGTTTCGCAGGCAAAATTTAAGATTTTAGGTAAGTCAATAAGAAATCTCTCCTTAATAACGGAAAGAAAAACCATGTAGCTTATAAGCCTAAGAGATTCTTTTCGTAAAAAATATTTGGACCCATAGAAATCGATCCGCTAAGCTTAGAAATGATTGAAAGTCTATATACATAGATCTAACAATTATAGTATACACTCTTAACAATAAAAAAATTCTTTTTTTAATAGCTTCGTGGATTACATATTTAATTAAACAAAAAATTAATTTTATATAAACATTAATAAAAACAAAACAAAAAATTAGCTTATAAAATACCAACATTTATATAAATGACGCCGAAAACTTTTAAATTACCCACATATTTATATTCTTAAATTCCAAACTTTTTACTTGTTAAGCTCTGATTGGCCATTCTCCCACAAAATTTATTTTTATAAAAACCGTATTATTAAAATGCCAATCGTGGGAAAATTAAAAATAAATCTTTCTTTTTTTATGTTAATGCCAAAACTCTCTCCCTTCCCTCCCCACTTTCTCCCTCCAACCTAATTAACAAGCATTTCGGCTACCTTGGTGAATTAGAATTTTTATTTTTAATTTAAATCTCGTCAGGTTATTTAACTAATTTTTTGTATGTTGTGAGAATAATGTAGCTCTCAGGAAAACGGTAAAAGCATTTTTGAAAAATTGCGGGGGCTTAAAAACTTCCTTTTTATTATACAAAATTTTCACATTATAATAAAAAAAGATAAGAATAAATTAATTAAAAAATATTTTAAAAAATTGTATGCCAAAATGTCATTTGAAAATTTGTATTAAGTTATGTAAGTACTATTACATCATTGTAAATACTAGGAGTGTTAAAAGAAGGGAATAGAAGAAGTGTTTGGAAACTCGCACAGAAATTCATGCTTAAGACTGTGTGTGAGTTTTAGAAATAAATTTAGACAGGCATGAGTACAAATATGAGTCACATAGCAGCATTTAAATCGCTTATGATGGGGTTAAACGATCTAAAAAGGGAAAAGAATAAGCATAAGCGGTGAGTGAAAGCGCCTATAAGCGGTAAGTGATATAAGCGGTGCGTCACTCCTATAAACGGTGAGTGAAAGTACCTAGCAATGGCTGCAAGGAGGTTGCAGATTCGAATCCTGCCCGATGACTGAACTTATGCTTCTCTTCTCGAGGAAAAAATCTGTATGGAAGTATGTACGCCTACGAGCTGTGAGAATAATGTCACTCTAAGTTCAAGTCACTCGTGGGAGGTGTTGGAGATAAAGTTAAAATACGGGAGGAGGTGGAAACTAAAATTGCTGAGTTTTAAAAGAAATTGGAAAAATTTGATTAGAAGAACCAAAAAACTACATATTTTTCATTTTTATAAAGAATAAACTAAATGAAAATATTTTAAAAAATTTCAAAAAATAAAAAAAATTAATTATTAATAATTAAATAATTTTCATTAAAATTTATTTATATTACACACCTGTTTCTATATTTAGCTAAACAAAAGAAAAATAATTTTATTTTGTTTTGCAAATTTGAAACTAAAAAATGAAATATTATTAAGACTAATTTTTATTTTTTTTGAGAATATTTTTATTTTTTTTTCTTTAAAAATAAATGCCAAATATGGAAACAAATTTACAAATTCACAGCTATAATTAATTAAAAAATTTTCCAAAAGTTTTTTTTATTTAAATAATTCATTTTCCGAATTATTTAAATTCTTTTTTTGTTTTTCTGCCATCATATTAATTGTTGATAATTCACTACGCCACAAATTAAAATTTGTACGGAGCTGGTTTATGCCTAGAATTTTTAATTAAATTAATAAAAATAATTTTTAAAATTTATTTTAAAATATGTGGTTAGGATTAGAGCCGGACTTTAGTGATCGTTCGATAATATCGGTATCGATATCGAAAAATATCGATAATTTTTCGATATTTTTTTTCGATATTTTCCCCGACGGGGGAACTTGTTCCAATAAAGGGCGAAGTTGTACCAATGATGGAGAAGTTGTCCCAATGTCGTGGGAAGTTGTACCTATGACGGGGACATATAAATCATCCAGATTAGCTCAGACCCATAAAGTGCAGTTTTTGAAGGGTAAAGGTCAAAAATTTAAAAGAAATTATTATCGAAAAAATCAAAAAAATTTTCGTTCGATAATATCGGTATCGATTATCGATAATATCGACATCGATATATCGATATTTTCCATCGATATATCGTATAGATCCGGTCTCTAGTTAGGATTTACATACATTGAATAGACTAAAAATCTCAAAATTTGAACTAAGTAAAGGTTTTTTATTTCTGTGCTACTGAAACGGTTTTGGTTGCAGGTTAGGTTGCTGTTTAACAGAGTTAATTCATAATACAATCCTAAACATTTTTTGAGTTAAAGATTAGTAGCTGGATAACGTTCAGCTTCCAAAAAATGCATGATGGAAAGATTAAAACCACATTTATCTAGTAAATTCACGAATATTTAAAAACGAAAAAATAAAAAAATAAATATTTATATAATTCAGCTTTGAATGTGTTGGGGGAACCGACTAAAAAACTTGGAATTTCGATTTCAGATTTTTAGTAAAAATTTCAAAAATCATTAGCTAACATAATTTTCAAAATTATTAATAAAATTATTACTTTCAAAAGTTGTTACAGCCATTTGTTCTTCATTATAGAAATATTTGATAGAATTATTTATAAATACATTTTCATTATTTGTAGCCAAATCCATTAATTTATATGCCTTTAATTTAATTTATTAATTAAATAAACTACCGTCGGACCTCATTATGTATTAGGAACTTGATTTTTAGGTGTATTACCTGTTTTTCTCCGAACTTCCTTAGCTCTGAGAAGAATAAATCCGATGTTATTCACATTAAGTCAATTAGTTTAAGATTTCTATATTTCTATCTTGTTTGACATCGAAATCTCATTATACGGTTACTTACTCAATATACGGTTATCTTATCATTATACGGTTACTTAATATTCAACAATGGATACAACTCAGTCAAGGTATTT